CCCCCGCGCGATCCCCGGGCCCCCTCGAGATCCCCGGGCCCCCGCGCGATCTCCGGACCCCCGCGCGATCCAGGACCCCCCTCGAGATCCCCGGGCCCTCGCGCGATCCCCGGGCCCCCGCGCGAGTCCCAGATCCCCCCCGGGCGAGTCTAGGACGCCACCCCCGCGCGAGTCCAGGACTCCCCTCGAGATCCCCAGGCCCCCTCGAGATTCCCGGCCCCCCGCGCGATCCAGGACCCCCCTCGAGATCCCCGGGGTCCCACGCGATCCCCGGGCCCCCTCTAGATCCCCGGCCCCCCGCGCGAGTCCCAGACCCCCCCCCCGGCGAGTCTAGGACGCCACCCCCGCGCGAGTCCAGGACTCCCCTCGAGATCCCCGGCCCCCCTCGAGATCCCCGGGCCCCCGCGCGATCCAAGACCCCGGTGCGACCCCTGGCGGCCGGGTCCCCCCACCCCCATCCCGCCGCGGTCCGGTCGTGGTCGTGCGGGGCCCTGCGCAGGCTCCAGCACTGAGGCTCCCTGGGAAGCTCCGTCCTGACCGAAGGTGGAGGGGAAGGGAAGGGGACGCGGGGTTCCCCGCCCCGAGGGGCCGCACTGCGGCTGCTCGGCCCGCCCGGCCAGGCTCTGGCTGGTTTGGCCTTTGCAAACCGCCACCAGCGCCGCCGGGGTCAGTCGCTGGCGGCCCTGGAGTGTGTGGGCCTGGGGGAGAGCACACGGACCTGGAGGAGGAGCCGTGGCTCCGCCAGACCTGGGCAGACCTGTGTGCGTCTGCAGACAGGCATTGGTCCTGGTGTCCTGACGTGTGCGGGCTGGACATGTGTGTGCCCTGTGCACACGAGGCATGTGTACGCACAAGTGTCACGGGCGGTGTACCAGGGTGCCTCCCTCCGGGTCTGCTGGGTGCCATGGAACTGGCCCTAGTGGCAGCACGTCCCCGGACTCCCGTGGTCCCTTAAGTGCTACCACCCGATGTCCTCAGCTGGCAAAAGGCCTTCCCGCCTCCCCTCTGCAGCTTCTGTGAGGTTGGATGTCTGGCTGACCCCTCTCAGACCCTCCCTGGAGTCCAGCCTCCCTCCATCCCTTCCCTCTGGGTCTCCTGGGTCCCTCACAGCAACAGCAAGTCGGTGACCTGTCTGTGTTGTGTTCACACCCCTGGCGTCTGGAGATAACAGATTGGTGCTTGGCTGGGCTGGCCACCAACTCCTATCTCCCCGCCAGGGCCCTGTCTGTTCAACCGCCTGCTGTCCTGTCTCCCACCTGGAGTTTCCCCTGTTTCTGGCTATTTGTTCAAGAAGGGTGGGAGCTGGGCCAGAGGTTTGGCCCAACGGATGGACGGGGAGGGCCTGATAGGGGTGGCATGTCTCGCCTCTAACACCCTGCCCAGGCCCAAGTGCACCTGTTTGTCTCAGGCCTGCGGGTGACCTCTGGTCCCTCCCCCCAAGTTACAGATGAGGAAACTGATTCTCAGAGATTGTGGGGGGCTGGCTCAGTGGGGTGCTGGGTTCCCCTGTTCTGCGGGGCTGCGGGGAGAGAGGAGGGAAGGGTCAGGCTTTCCCATGTGTTGACGTTGGCTGAATGGAGTGATGGTACATGCCCCCCCCCCAGGCCGAGGGGACAGAGTGGGGTGGTTGTCTCTCCTCCCCTCAGGTGCACCCCGACGCCGGCATGCCCCACGGGAGCCCATGTGCCCTCTGTGCCCCATGACACACACACACACAGCTGTAAAGCTGTGCTGTCCCGGGGTGCTCCCCCCCCCCGCACTGTCCTGACCTGCTACTTCCGAATGTGTGGGAGCTGTAGCCACACATCCAGGGTTCCTCTCTTTGCAGGTTCAGCAGGCTGGGGTCGAGCTCCAGGTCTGTCTCTGCAGCCATCTAGGAAAGACAGGCTTTTAAACAGATTCGTGTCCAGGAACACCTGTGTACACACGTGTGTGCACGCACGCACGCATGCAGACGCGGGCCGGCACCCGCTCAGGTTTTTCTCATATCGGGACAGATGGCATCTCCCGGCTGGCTGTGTCTTGCAGCAGCTCCTGGCCTGCCTGGACAAGGCCCTAAGTCAAGGGCCAGGCCCTTAAGAGGACCACCCCCCAATCCTGGCAGCCTGGGCCTTAGTGTCAAGAGCCCAGGGAGAAGAGGGAGGGAAGGAGGGAGCTGCTGGCCCCTGGAGGTGGAGGGTGGAGCCTGCAGGCCTCTGGTGCAGCCACCCACCGCTGGCAGACCCGCCGCCTGTCTGCTGGGGCCAGCCCAGAGTGGTGGCACTGCCCATGTGCTGCCCAGGGTGTTGGCCGCCGACCCACCCCTGCTCCCGCCCCCACCCAGGTGGTGCAGAGGATCAAGGCTGTGGAGGGGCAGACGCGGCTGCTGGTGGTGGACAAAGAGACGGATGAGGAGCTCCGCCGGCGGCAGCTGACCTGCACCGAGGAGATGGCTCACGGAGGGCTTCCGCCGGCCAGCGAATCCTGGGAACTGAAGTCCGACTGGGCACGCGTGGGCAGCCTCAGTTCTGACACTGGCCAGAAGGTACGGCAGGCTCGGATTCCCGGCCACCTTGGCTTTCTCCAGGACCGCCATCTCAGCCTTTAAATAACAGCCTTTGCCTCTGGCCGCCTCCCCAAGCCTGCATTCCTTCTTCCTTTCGGGGTCCTTTCCCTCCTGCAGTGACCGCCCTATAGGTCTCTTGGGACCACTCTCCGCCTGCAATCAGCCTGCTCTCTGCGCCCGGTGGCTGAGGAATCCTGGGACATTTGAGGACGGTGTCCAGCTCTGTCCATCTGTGGGTTTTGTCCTCGTCTCTGTGTGCTGTGAGGGCCTGGGCGCAGGGCAGCTGGCCGCCTCTGTGGGTGTTGTGGCTGGATCGGGGGGGGGGGCTGGTGTCCAGAGGAGCTGCCATCAGCCCCCAGCAGCCCAGGTGCCGAGCTGGGTTGTTGTAGAGCAGGCTCACCTTCACCCCCAAACGTGGACATCAGTGGCAACCCCTCCCCCTCCCAGACCGGACCCAGAAAGAACAGGGAAAGGCCTGCTCTCTGTCCTTCCCGTGGCCAGCCCGGCCTTACCTGGAAGTCAGGAGGAAGGACCCAGACTGTGTGCGTGGCCTCTTGGAGGCTCTGGTATTATTGTGTCTTGTACCTTCCACGCTGAGTGTGTGTGTGTGAGGGGGTGGGGAGTTTGAACTCAAAGCCTTGTGGCTTGTGCTTGCTAGCTAGACCAGTGCTCTGAGTCTTTGTTTTTTTCTCCCTTCTTTTCTTTTCTTTTTTTCAACGAATCCTTTGAAGGGATTTAAGCACCAGAGGTTCCCAGGCGCCCCTTGGCGAGCCGTGGCTGAGGGCTGGTAGAGCTGTCAGGTGTGAATGAAGTCATGGGTCTGCAGGGCCCCCGGCCTCTGCCCTCTCCCCACGGGTGCTGGCTGGGCTGTGAGCCGGGCCAGGCAGGCCTGTCGTGGTGTGGGGAGAGACTCCTTCACAGCAGGACCCGTGGCTGAGGGCTGCGGTGGGCCGGGCTGTGAGGTGCTTTTTCTTCTGGGGGAGTCCAGGGCAGGTGTGGAGGCTGGGCGGCTGGGCTTTGCTCCGTGGCTGCTGACGGCCAGGACGGGACCCCGCGTGGGTGGCCAGCTGACACGGGGGAACCTGGCCGCTGCAGGCCCTGCGTGTCCTGGCCGAGGATGGGAGCCGCTTCTTTCCCAGCACCCCGCCCTCCCCGACGGGAGGAAGCCCCCCTCCCCGCCAGACGTTTGTCCATTCATTGAGACACAAACAGCTGAGTTCACCTTCCTGTGGAAAACTCTGCCCTGGACCCTTATCTGGAGGTGGGGGGGGGGCCCTGGCTCGGGTGGGGCCTTCCCCCTGGGCTATTTCAGGCTGCAGGAAGGCCTAGGGGGGGCTTCCTCCGGGCGTATTTTTAGAGAAACAAAAGGGGTAAGGTGGGCAGCCCAGGGGTCAGGCGTGCCCCTGAAGGCAGAGGAACAGCCTCTTCTGATCTCTGAAAACCGGGCTCAGAGGCTTCCCTGCGGGGCCGGGCGGCCTGTGCTCTAACTTGGGTGTTGCCGGCTGGAGGATGTGTTGCTGTGCTTTGTTGCAGGGTTGGGGGTCTCACCTGGTGCCCCTTAGCGCTGCGCTTGCCCTGCCTGGGCCTCAGTGTCCCCTGTCCTGGCCGGGACAGGGAGGTGGAGCCCCTGAGGATGCCCATGTGAGGTGGGGAGCTGTGGAGTCTTTGGTGGCTCAGCCGGGGCCGCCCTGGGGCCGGGGGTGGCTGCAGCTGTGGGGGGGGTGGCAGGGACACCCCCATGACAGAGACGGGGCTGCTGGCCGCGCCAGGGCCGGCGGCAGCGGTGCCACAGCGGGCCTGCTGCCTCCTCTCTCCCTCGGGGTCCCCACTCTGGGCCTGGGGGGGCTGCAGCTGAGTGAGGAGAGAGGCTTGGGGGAGGGGGGGCTCCCGCCCTCCTCTTCTGAGCTGGGTCCCCTCCCTGGCCCGTCTCCCTGTCCGTCTGTCCAACCATGGGTCCCGAGCAGGGCAGGGCCTCCCAGAAACTTCCTTCCTTCCTTTCTTGGGACGGAAATGTAGCTGGGGGGGGGTGTGCCTCAGCCGGGGAGGGGGGTCAGTCACCACCCTGCTCCCCAAAGTGACTCAGCCCCCCTCTGTCCCCACCCACCCATCCCCAGGGAACTGGGGTCACCGCGGGAGATAGATAAGTGGGTGGCTGTGTGTGCCGGCCAGAGAGTTTGAGCCACCGGCACAGGACCACCGCCACCCGCCCCGCCGGGCCTGTCCTGCTCCGCATGGCCCGCTCTGGGAGTGTCCTGCCGCCCGCCCCAGCCCTAGGAGCCACAACCCAGCGGCAGCAGCCCCCAGGGCTGGCACAGGTCAGGCGAGGGCCGAGCTGGAGCTGGCTGTGAGCACTGCAGCCTTCGGCTCCGGCTCCAGGGAGGGAGCGCAGATTCAGGGACCGCCAGCAACAATGGGGGCCTTTCTCTGCCAGGCCTAGTGAGTCACCCGGGTGGGGGCATAGCCTGGCTCCCAGGGCACCTCCATGCCAGCCTCTTTGTCTGGTGACAGGCTTGGACTGGGAGCTAGGGCTTGCGCGGCGTGTTGACCGTGGGGCTGGGAGCCCGTGGGAGCCGCCTGCCTGCCTGCCTGCCTGCGGGAGGCGGCAGGAAGTGCGCTGAGCCAGCCCCTGGACGAGGAATGCTAGCAATGCGCCCCTCCTGCTGCTTATGGGGGGGCACCTCTCCTCCCCTGCCCTCAACACCCCACAGCTTGGCCAATGGGGCTCCCGTGTTGGGGTCCCAGGGCATCTATCCGCAGCCGCAGGACCCTACCCTGTGTGTAAACAGAGGGGTTGAGAGTTGCTGGGTGTGGTGTTCCCTGAGCTGAGTGTGCTGGGGCAGGGGACAGCCAGCGTGACCCCCCTGACCCCCCAGAACACGGATGTGGCCTCCGCCTGGCCTCGTGACTCTGTGACCCCGGATCCCCCGCCAAATCCTGCTTCCCGTTTGGAGCCTTGAGAAAGCCCATCCTACAGACAGTTACAGGAAGAGGCCACAGGCGGGGGGGGGGTGGCACCGTGGAACTGGGTGTGTCTCAGGACCATGCCCTGTGGCCCTGCTCCTGTGCTGTGTCCGCAAGCCTCGCCGGCCCATGCCACACCGCCAGGCCTCTGGGAGCTGGCTCTGGTTTCTGTCTCTGCTTCTGCTCTTCCTTCCCTTCTTTTCCCTCCCTCGCTCTTTCCCTCCCTTTCTTTCCCTTCCCTCCCTCCTCGTGGGTGGGTTGGGGAGGGCTGCCTTGACCTGCACCCTGACTGTGTCCCTCCCTGACACTTCTGTGGGGGGACGCCAGACCTGTCCCAAAGCCCTAGGGCTGGCTGGGACGCGTCACCAGAGCTGGGCTCTGGAGAGTCCTGGATTTGGCTCCCTTGGCAGCCCCCCCCATGAGCCCCCAGGGGCTCAGGGGCAGCGCCAGTCCCCAAACTTCCTGGCACGGTGGGGCAGATGGTGGCCATACTGTGAGGGGGTTGAGAGGGCCAGCAGGAGGAGGGTCTCACCGGACTCTGGGGTGCGGGAAGGGCTTCCTGACGCAAGGCTGAGAGGGCCGGAGTCCTGCACTTGCTCCCTGGCCGGCACAGAGGTCCACAGGGCGCTTCAGGAGGCCGAGGGCCCGGTGCCCCTGTGAGCCCAGCCAGTGCGCTCACCTGCGCACCCCCCCCCAGAAACCTGAGCCCCGCCGCCCTGTGTAACTGAGCACCAGCAGCCTCTGGCCATTCAACAGCACAGCCACTGCCCTGGCCCCCTGGCCGGGTGGGGGTCAGCACCAAGCCCAGCCTCTGCCTGCACAGCCCCCTCTCCCCTGCCTTGCAAGTCCCCCTGCAGGATGCCAGAGGTAAAGTGAGGCAGGGCTGGGGGGGGCAGTGCGAGTTCTGTGGGGCTCCGGGAGTCCTTCCGCAAGGGGATCTTGCCTTCCAGTCCTTTCTGGGCCCCAGCGGGGTGGGGGCGTCTCCCGTGTGTGTGTGCTGGAATGTGAAAGCAAACACAGCCGGCACCAAGCAGCCCTGCCGCCCAACTGCCTCTCTGAGGCCTGGGGAGAAAGCAAAGCTGCCCGGGCCCACAGGCGGGGAGGGGTGCAGAGGTGGGGATGGGAGGCATGGGCACCCCTCCCTCCCTGCGTGTGGCCCCAGCTCCCTGGATCCTGTGCTGTGTGTGTGTGTGTGTGTGAGACATACTGCCTGGCCCTCTCTACCTCCTGAACCTGCACCCCCAGGTGTGGGGTCCACCTGAGGTTCTGTGTTTGGAAACAGGTTCTGCCCCAAACTCCACAGCGAGAGCCGGGCCACAGGCGGCTTCACGGAGCCCGTGGGGTGTGGGGTGGAGTCTGTAGCTGTTTGGGGCTTGGTCGTGAGCCGCGTGGGGAGGAGTGGCTGCCGAGGCTGGAGGCCAGCCAGATGCCCCTCTCCTGTGCCCACAGGGTGTCAATGGGCCCCCAAGAGAGCTGCGCCCGCGGCTCTGCCATATGCGCAAAGGACCCCAGGGCTACGGCTTCAACCTGCACAGCGACAAGTCCCGGCCGGGCCAGTACATCCGCTCTGTGGACCCGGACTCCCCTGCCTCCCACTCTGGCCTCCGGGCCCAGGACCGGCTCATCGAGGTACTGCCCCCCCATCTGCGCGTCTGTGTCCTGGGCCCTGGCCCCCCACAGGGGAAGGGGAGCCACGGGGAACCTGAGCTGGCGCTCGGCTGGTGTGGCTCTGATGAATATTTGATGGCACACGGGGCCGGGTGGCGCGGGGCGGCCTGCCCCTGGCCGGGCTGACCCCGGGTGTGGCGGGCGGCAGGTGAATGGACGCAACGTGGAGGACCTGCGCCACGCCCAAGTTGTGGCCAGCATCAAGGCGCGGGAGGACGAGGCCCGGCTGCTGGTGGTGGACCCCGAGACGGACGAGTACTTCAAGCGGCTGCGGGTCACCCCTACTGAGCAGCACGTGGAAGGTGGGCTGCCACCCCAAGGGGGCGGGGTGGGGGGCCGTGGGAAAGCGGGGTGGCCACCGACACACTGTCCCCGCAGGTCCACTGCCATCGCCAGTCACCAACGGGACCGGCTCCGCCCAGGTGAGAAGACACCTCCCGGGTCACCGCCTTCCCCGTGCCCCGTCCCCAGCACTGCACGGGGGCCGCGTCTCCTTCAGCCCCCAGGTCCAGGTCCCTGGGAGCTGGTACTGGCCTCACCCCGGGGGGGACGCCCCCTGCCGCTGCCCCGTGCCCGCAGGCGCAGCCGCTCGCCTGGCCAGGGCTGGTGCCACGTCCTGCCCGGCCGGCTGTGTGGTGCTCGCTGCTGCGGGGAGGGGGGGCAGGTGTCTCTATGGAGGTGTGTTGGTGGGGGCCGAGGCCACAACGTGCCCTTGGTTTCCTAGCTCAATGGTGGTTCAGTGTGCTCGTCCCGCAGCGACCTGCCCGGCTCCGACAAGGACACTGAGGTAACTCCTCTGCTGTGCTCACGGCGGGCGCCAGGGGAGCAGGGGCGGGTCCTGCAGAGCAGTCCCAGGGACCCCAACTCCCCCCCAGCCCCGCAGGAGGCCTTGGGTATGAGCTCCGTGGGAGACTCTGTTCTGGGGCATGAGTCTAGAGCTCACATCTGCCCCGTTCCCCCCCATCCCTCCCAGGATGGCAGTGCCTGGAAGAGAGACCCCTTCCAGGAGAGCGGCCTCCACCTCAGCCCCACGGCAGCCGAAGCCAAGGAGAAGGCTCGAGCCACGCGGGTCAACAAGCGGGCACCGCAGATGGACTGGAACCGGAAGCGGGAGATCTTCAGCAACTTCTGAGCCCCTCCCCGCTGTCCGGGCCCCTGGACCTCCTCCTGTGCCGACCTCGGGACCGAAACAAGCCCCTCTGGCCTCAGTGGACGAGAGGGCGGTCTCCACGCCACCCAGAAAACTACCCATGCCCCAGGGAGTCCCCAGTCCTGCCTCCCATCCACTGGGAGCTGGGGCTGCTGCAGCAGGTGGAAGGGGAGGGAGAGGCAGAGACATGAGGGACACAGAGATCAGAGACAGGAAGAGAGACACCAGGAGAATGAGAAAGACAGACAGAGAGAGAGAGGAGAGGAGGACAGTGTGCGACTGCTGGCCAGCGTCTTTGCTGCTCTACCCTGGGTCTGCTGACTAAAAGGAACGAGTTTCTGCTTTTTTTTTTTTTCCAAAAAGATCTCCAGCTCCCCACATGTTTCCACTTAATACGAGAGCCCCCCTTCCCCCCACCAGGACACGCTCTCCAAATAACCGCAATAAAACAAACCTTTCACGGCAAACCATTTCCTCCACGACCCCTCGGCCGCGCCATCCTGAGTGGAGCCCCGGGGCCCAGGCCAGGTCCACATGGGACTCTGGGTAAGGCTGGAGAAGCCAGGCATTGCTGTGAGAGCTGTCCTCCACCCTCCCCATGACCCCCCTGGTGTGTGGGGTTCCTAGGCCAGCCCCCCCCGACCCCCGCTTCTCTGTGCTGCTCCCACCTTGCGGGTGGGCTGGAGTGAAGGGCCTGGGCTTGATGACAAAGGCCCCATCCCCCAAGGGGACGGCCTCCGGACAGGCCCCCGGTCCTGCACCTCTGCTCCAGGCCTGGGGATCACGGAGCTGCTCCCTGGAAGACCCCTGGGCTTCAGAAACCAGCCCCTGCCTTGCGCCTGCCTGGCGCCCACCCCCAGACACCCCGTCAACTCCGCCCTTTCCTCGGCACCCTGAACCGCTGGACCTGACCGACCAGCACTGCTGTCTGCCTTGTAAGCCATAGCGCATGCGCGCCCTCAGAATAAACGGGCCTTGCCTCTGACCCCGTGTCTGTCCCGAGTCTCTGGTCGAGTGAGGGCTGGAGGTGGGGGCCCTGGGGGGGCGAGGCTCGTTCTAAGGGAGCCACAGTGGCCTGCAGACCAAGCGGCTTCTCGACTGGGCCTCAGGACCTGTCCTGTGCCACAGTCGATCAGATTCTGGGGGCCCTGCCCCTTTCCACACGGCGGGTACCCACCCGCCTCCTGCCCTCCGGCTGGTGGGTCTCAGGCCAAGCCCCACGCGCTGTCCGTCAGAGCCCGGCCTCCCTCTCTCCCTTTCTGAGGATGTGTGTGTGTGTGGTATGTAGGGGCTGTGGGGGGAGGCTGGGGGTGGAGGGAATGGGCTCTTGCACAAGCTCAAGAGCTGGTGGGGGTTCTGGGTGGAGAACCTGCCTGTAGACCGCGAGGCCATGGGCTGCAGCTGCCTGCAGCTGGCTGCCTATTTCTGCCTGCTGGTTCTTGGTGCCCCACGCTGTCCTCCCTCCGTCCCTCCCTCCCTAAGTACACACTGTGGGTTGTGTCACGTTGCCCCCCCCCAGGTGGCCCTGCTCCAAACACATGAGCACGGGGCACAGGCATGCCTGCTCCTACACCTCAGGAAAAGAAGGCAGCCAGACTCCAACTGTAAACCCCCCAACGTTTATTAGACTGTGGCTCCCCAAGCAAAGGCACTTTACAGATAGCGGCCGCTTCAGCACCCAGGCCAAAGCCCCTGGAGCTCAGAAGCCCTGGGCAGCCGGACACAGGGCCCGGTTGAGGCAGGTCTGGCAGCGGGGGTGGACAGGCAGGCAGGTCTGCTGGCCGAAGCCCACCAGCAGCCCGTTGATCTCGCCCCACAGCTCCCTGTGAGGAGGAGGGCGGGGTGAGAGGGAGAAGAGGGAGCGGGAGCCCTTCCCGCTGGTCTCCCACCCACCCCGGCATACCTGGGCAGCCATTCCTCCAGGGCTTCCCGCGTCTTCTCTGGGGACTTGGTTGCCTTCTTGGTCCATCCCAGCCGGTTAGCAATCCTGTGCACGTGAGTGTCCACTGCTGCACGGCAAAGGGCAGAGGAAGCAGGGACGCGCTGAGGGCTGGGGCCACAGTGCTGGCTGAGGGTCTGAGTGGCTGCTACGCCTCTGCCACTGGGCTACCTCAGGTGTCAGCACCCCAATCACGGGGCAGCTTGGGGGGCGGGCAGCTTCTGCTTTGGCCTGACCCATTCTCAGATGCTCTTTTTTTTTTTTGGGGGGTCTGGTCATGGGGCCTGAACTCTGTGTCTGGGTGCTGTCCCTCAGCTCTTCAGCTCAAGGCTAGCGCTCTACCACTTGAGCCACAACTGCCACTTCCAGCTTTTTTCCTTTTGCTTATGTGGTGCTGAGGAATCGAACCCAGGGCCTCAGGCATGCAAGGCAAGCGCTCTACCACTGAGCCACCTTCCCAGCCCTCTCAGATGCTCTTGTTTGGTGCCACCTTAACACGTGTGTGTGTGTGTGTGTGTGTGTGTAAGCACTGCTGCCCTGGGCTCGTCTTCTCTTGACAGTAACACAGCTAACCCAGGTACAACACTTGAGTCAGGCCCTGTGCTGAGATTTACCTGCCTCAGATTAGGAAGTTGTTCTGGCGCCCGGGGCTGGGGACTGGTCCTAGGGCTTGCACTCAGGGCCTGGGCACTGTCCTTAAGCTTTGTTGCTCAAAGCTAGCATTCTACTACTTGAGCCATAGCTCCATTTCCAGTTTTTCTGGTGCTTAATTGGAGCTAAGAGTCTCACAGACTTTCCTGTTCTGGCTGGCTTTGAATCACGATCCTTAGATTTCAGTCTCCTGAGTTGCTAGGATGACAGGCGTGAGCCACCGGCGCCCGGCCTCAGGAAGTCTTTATGAGGCACCTAGCCATAGAAACTGAAGCCTAGCAGGGTGCTCACTCCAAAGTGTGTGCTTTCTGGGGGTGCAGCCCAGCGGCAGAGGCATGCTTAGGGTGAATGAAGAAACACAACACGAAGCGTGGACTCCCCCACCTACAGTCCCTGGGGAGAAGGCCTGCTTCCTCGGACCAGACTCCCGGGGTTCACAGTGGAGCGGCACAGCTTGGCGCAGTGAAGTGGCCCGCGGTCACTGCCATTAGACACCAGGGACCAAGTGGGCCTGGTGGCCGCAGCTGTGTCACACCTGCTCCTATCAACTGGCCACCATGACTCTCACTGGGGCGGCCTCCTGCCCAGCTGCAGCCCTGGCCCTGCTAAGTGAAAGTCACCCCCCTGCCAGCTTCCTGTTTCCCGGCAGCCTGAAGCTGTAGGCAGAGGACAAAGGTCAAAGGACCACACCATGGGATCCCCGAGCCTCAGTTTCCTCCTCTGTAACACGGGGATGGCTGTGTTCCTCACGACACACAGGCCCAAGACTGGGCCCTGTCCTGTGTGAGGCTCCCGTGCCAGCCAGAAGAGCTTTCTATGCAGCTGGGCAGTTAAAAAGGGCAAACGTGTCACTATTTTGGAGCCAAGAGCCTGACCCGAGGTTGTCCAGTGGCATGTAGAGGGCAGAGCTAGAACACACTCCTGTTCCCCACGGCTCCAGCTTATTAAGAGGGAGGACTTCTTTCCTTTAGGAGGAAACCCTCAGGTCTCCCTGTTGGCAGCCACCAGAGGCTGGCATTCCGACACCATCTCAACTTAATGCCACAGGCCCCTCCCCGAGAGAATGGCCCAACCTCAACACAGCACTCCTGGGACACGGGCAGCTGAGGACAGCACCCAGATAAGCTCAAGTATCTGCTGAGAGGCTGGTGGCGGGGAACCGAGTCAGGTGCAGGGAGGCCAGCCTGGCTCTTCCGGGGGCTGCTGCTCTGCAGTCTTTCTGAGGGGCCACCGGCTCCCAACAGAGCCCTGGACCCCTAGCTGCCCTCTCCCCACCTCACGGCCGGCACGGGGGACTTCCCTGAGAGCCTCTCACCTCCACGGCTGGCCCAATCCCAGAGGAGCCTGCAGTGTGGGGGCACACCGGGAGGCTGGGGCCAAACCCTGGTTTCTGGGTTGGCAGGTCTGCTGTTTTTCCTGAGGAGGAAGCAGCGTGGTGCCTGCCTCAGTGAGTCGTCTGTGCCAGGAGGAAAAGGGTTCCAGGAACTGCTTCCTCTTCCTCCTCTTCTTCCTCCTTCTCTGCCCCAGCCTGCCTCAGATTGTCCCACTTATTCATCTCATTCCAGAACTTTCTGCTCCTGCCCTGTAGCTTTTTTTTTGGCCAGTCCTGGGGCTTGCACTCAGGGCTTGGGCACTGTTTCTGAGCTTCTTTGGCTCAAGGCTAGCACTCTGCCACTTGAGCCACAGCACCACTTCTGGTTTTTTCAGCATATGTGGTGCTGAGGAATTGAACCCAGGGCTTCATGCACGCTAGGCAAGCACTCTACCACTGAGCCACCTGCCTGGCCCCTGCCCTGTAGCTTTGCAGACAATGCTCCTGGTGTCTGGAACCTGCCTCCTCCTCGTGGCTTGGCTTACTCTACCTGCCCGGCACTCTCCGCTGAAATACCAAGTTACTGACTCCTCCCAGCGGCCACACAGACCTGCCCCTGGCTCTCAGCAAACGTGAGCGCCTGCCGTCACTCTCAGCAACGAGCAGCCTGCAAACACCTTTCCGACCGTTTGGGCTGAGTCCTGAGTGATACTAGAGCTGGGGTCACAGGTCACAGGTCACAGGGGCAGCGGAGAGCCGGCTCCTCCCTCTCTGTGGTACGTGCCACTCACCTATGCCCGACACAGAGCCCCAGGCCACAGCCATAGCCAAGTGTGCCATTTTGGGCCCAACTCCGGGCAGGGCCACCAGCTCCGCCACGGAGGCTGGGATGTCACCGTCGTAGTGCTGCTGCAGGATGGCACTGGTCTGCTTGATGAACTTGACCTTGCTCTGAAAGACAGTGGCGAGGTTCATAGCCGGACCTGGAAAGACGGGGGCCCTGGAGAGCCCCACAGGTACCCAGCTGCCAGCCGCCTGCCCAGAACTCTTACAGGGGCGCCGGGTGGCCCTTCTGCCCAGAGGGGGAGAGGGGGACGGGGGAGGTCCCCAGGCAGGTCTGGATGCCTGGTTTTACTGCTCACACAGGTCAATGACATGACTACTGCGGGACCTGGCCTGGGGCTCCCTGACCTCTGGTCCCCCAGAAGCTGGGTTCAGGACATGAAGGCAAGCCGTGCCTAGGAGCTGGGCTTGGCGGCACCTGGGCCTTTGGGAAGGAAGGCTGGAGCCCGGGCTTTTGGGCGGGCCAGGCGGTTCTCATCCTGTGCCTATTTAAAACCCATCTGACACACGGCAGCCCACACGGTGCCAAGGGAAGCGGCCCCACCCACCCAGCTGCCACTTTCAACAGATCCACCCACCAACTACCCAGGGCTCTTCGGGGTCGGGAACAGCCTCTTTTGGGTGTGCCATTCAGACTCCAGGGAGGCGAGGAGTAAACAAAAGGGAAAGCAAGGAAGGGAAGGGCGGGCGACTGGGTGGGGAGCTTGAGGAAGGAAGGGGGGACCAACAGGAAAGGCTAAGGAGCACCAAGGACAGGCACCAGCCCCACAGCCTGGCCCCTCCCTCGGGGGGTGGAGGTGGGCAGGAGGCGAAGCAGAGGCATCAGGGGCTCTGGCGGTCAGAGACGCCTGCCTTGCTCGCTGACTGTGTGTCTCCGAGGCTAGTGCCGTCCTTGGTCCCGTTGTCAGAAGCAGGCTCACCCTCCAGAAGCCCACGGGGTAGATGAGCTGGCCCAGTGTGCTGTCATCCGTCTGCAGGATACTGTCCACTGTCAGCCCCCGGGCCCGCAGCCGCTTCATGGCACCGGCCGTCACCTGGTCTTTGGTCTGGCTGGAGAGCATCAGTGACAAGAGCACCTGGTATCTCTGCACCTGCTCGAGAGGTGACAGGGACCAGGGAGGAAGTGGGCCCTGGCTCTCCACACCTCCACGTGGTACCCTCACCTCCTACCCACGGGGGTCCATGGGGCCATCACCCAGGACATGGCATGTGCCTCCCAGGACAGGACAATGTGAAGCCTAAATGAATTAGCAAAATACCAGGGATCACACTGGGCGCCGGTGGCTCATGCCTGTCATCCTAGCTACTCAGGAGGATGAGATCTGAGGATTGTGGTTTGAAGCCAGTCCCAACAGGAAAATCCATGAGACTCTTATTTCCAATTATCCACCAGAAAACTGGAAGTGGCGCTGTGGCTCCAAGTGGTAGAGGACTAACCACGAGTGAAAAAGCCTGGGCCCTGAGTTCAAGTCTCACAACCAAAACCAAAAACCAAATCAAATCAGAAAAAAAAACCACAACAGTAAAAAACAAAACAACTTGCTGGGCGCTTGTGGCTCACACCTGTAATCCCAGCTACTCAGGAGGCTGAGATCTGAGGATCACAGTTCAAAGCCAGCCTGGGCAGGAAAAATCCATGAGACTCTGATCTCCAACAAACCACTAAGAAAACTTGAAGTGGCACTGTGGCTCAAGTGATAGAGCGCTTGCCTTAAGCTGAAGAGCTGAGGGACAGCGCCCAGGCCCAGAGTTCAAGCCCCAGGACTGATCAAAAACAGAAACAAAAAAATGACTACCCATTTTATGGGCAAGAAAGCACGTCAGACACAAAAATATGGATATCAACTGGTAGCAGAGGGGGGATGAGAATTCTTGTTGTCTAAGGAGTTAGGTTTCACGTTGGCAAAGTATTATTGAATGTCCACACTGGCTAGCACTGTGCCAAGGAAAAATGTACAGCCGAGGCCCGGGGCCCCACAGGTGGAGTGGTTACAACGAAGCAGCAATGCTGCCAGGTACTCTGGGCTATGTGCTCTCAGGATGCCATCTGCAGGGGAGGGTCAGGTGGACAGAGAGCTGCCAGTTCTCGAGCTTTCATGTCAGAGGTCAGAGGCCTGAGAGGAAGCACGCATATTTCTTGCCTGGAGAAAGCAGGTGTGTATGGGTCCGCTGTGTGATGGAGTCCCTACTCACTTTTGGAGGGACACTGGTGTCATAGCAGTGCTCAGCGCCCAGCTGGTCCACAGGTGCATCCTTCTGGCTTCTCATGGTACGAATGTTAGCCAGCTGTCGCTGCCAGTCTGGAGGCTCCCAGGCAGGCACCCGGAGGGGCTCAGCCCCGGCCCCTTCCTCACCATTTGAAGCCTCGTAAGCCACACGAAGTCTCTTCCAGGGCCGTTTCACAGGCTTGTGGCTTTGTCTTCCTTCTGCAAAAAGTGTCATTCAGTCTGAGGAGCAGGGTGAGAGTAGGCCACACGTGCTACCTGCCTGCTGGGCTACCCATTTAGTTACTTATTCATTCACTGAACGACTGCTCACGATCAGAGCGGAGACTGTCCTTGGCAGGGTAGGGACAAAGCACAAGTCAGCACCCAACTGATCATGGAAGCTGCATCCGAGAGCACTTTCTAACAGCCTAGCTTGGGCGAGTACCACTCTCCTTGGCAATCAGGATGAACTCCAACCTCACAAGCTCCTGTGGCTCTGGCATTCTGGCCGGCCTTCCTCCCGACCCCCCCAGGGCCAGGCCGAGGTCCGCTGCGCCGGGTCCTCAGGGGCCACAGGACGGGCGTTCGGTGGATGCCTGGCCCTTTCCTGTGTTCTCTCGGCCCGGCGTCCCAGCTCCCCAGCTGGGGAAGACTCCCCTCAGGGAACATTCTAGGCGCCCAGCCGGGCTGGGACGGAGGCGGCTCCGGGGACTGGCGCACCGCAAGGGCTCAGGGCCGAGCCGTCAGCCTGGGAACCAGGATGGGTGTGCGGGAGCGCCCGCGCCCGGCGGCCAGGGGTGCCGGGTCAGACGCCAGCCCCCC